AAAAAAAAAAAAAAAAAAAAGAATGTCACGCAAACATTAGTATATGTCAAGGAAGTTTTCTTATTGACGTGTAAAGAAATTAATGGCATATCGTTGAGTGAAAAAAGGGAGATCATAGAGCCATACATAAAGTATGATCCAATTAAAAATATATCTAGGTACTGGAAACTCTGAAAGAGCCTATGTCTAGATGTTAACAGCTCAACAACAGCTCTTTCCTCTGGAATTAACAGTTATTTTCTTGCCTTCCTTTTGCCTATCTGTGTTTCCTGGCTATTTTAATGGCCAGGATGTAATATGTGTATAATTTTCTCAAATATTTTTTTTTCTAAGATGGAGTCTTGCTCTGTTGCCCAGGCTGGAGTGCAGTGGTGCCATCTTGGCTCACTGCAACCTCTGCCTCCCGGGTTCAAGCGATTCTCCTGCATCAGCCTCCTGAATAGCTGGGATTACATGTGTGTGCCACCAAGCCAGGCTAATTTTGTATTTTTAATAGAGACAGGGTTTCTCCATGTTGGTTAGGCTGGTCTCGAACTCCTGACCTCAGGTGATCTGCCCGCCTTAGCCTCCCAAAGTGCTGGGATTATAGGCGTGAGCCACTGTGCCTGGCCTCAAAGATATTTTTTTTAAAACAGGAGCATTGCAGCAGAGCATGCTGGTCTGTAGACTCCCCACATCACTCCCTTCTCAATGTTGAGACTGAGGCAAGGCTGGGATAACTCTCCCATTTCCTAGATGAGAAAGCTGGAGCTTGGAGAGGCTGAGGCATGTAGTGACGCCAGCCTCTGAAGGCAGGAGAGCCCTTGGGGTCCACATTTTGTCCCATACCATGGCTGCGGTCTTTGCGTGCCAGCTTACGCTGAACTTTCTCAGTCTTTCCCTTCGCAGCCTGGCTGCTCTCCACTGGCCTACCTCTTCCACTGATGTTGTTTTTTTCAACTGAAAACAGAACTATAGGAAGAAAGCCTGGTTAGATGTGACTGGTCCTGTCTCTGGGCCCTCATTGAATGACAAGTGGGCTTGTGAGTGACTGACTGAGGGAGTGAGTGATTCCAGTTAGAAAGTATTTCCAATGTTGTGTTTTTCTCTTTGGCACAGACACACCCTGCAAACTGGCATGAATCATAAGTAATTCCCTAAAGCCCCTATCTGCCTGGAAATGCCTTGTGGTATTTCCCACAGTTCAGAAGCCATCAGCCCTGCATGCCAGCAGGCTTAGCTATTCCCCACCCAGCCACAAACTGTTGCCCATCCCCTGGGGAAAACACTGGAGGGAGAGGAGCTTGAGGCAGAGGTGACACCTCTGGAGACTGCCATCATTCTGGGATTTTGCTCACAGAAGCCTCAGGGCTGAGATCCTCCGGTAGGCTCTCTGTGAATTCCTAAGCCTGATGTCTTAGCTATGATGCCTGAGGGCCAGAAGAGAAGCCCTTTCTCTCTTAAGAGGTGGGTTCCCAGGCTTCAGCTTTCTCTCAGGATCGTGTGGTATCCGCTTGTCTACTGAATGCCAAGAAGCGAGAGTGCTCTTGGTTCTAAGTGTGGGTATAGCAGGTTGCATTTCTCAAAGATGGTGGTAACACTATTGTCTCTAACTATGGCTACTATGTAGACATAACTAAGTTGTGATCAGTGACATGCAAGTGGAATTGTTGTGTGGGAATCTCTGGAAAGGTGCCTTCAAAGGGAGGTGGAGGGCCCTTCTTGTCCCTTTCTCCATCCTGCTGCCTGTAATACAGATGTGATGACTAGAGCTCTAGTAGCCTTCTTGGACATTGAAGACTTGGGGTGGGGGATATTTGTTAATACCAGAAACCCAGAAGCTATGAAAGAAAAGATAAACATATTTGACTAGATTAGAATCTTAAATTTTTGTGGCAAAGCACAAAGAGAATAGATGAACAGATTTAGAAACCATACTTGTAAATCAGAAGACAAAGGGCACAAAGAATATTTACAAATTGCCAAGAAAAAGATAAATGATTCAATAAAAATACTGGCAATTTATGAAATGGCAGTTTCAAAGAGCCAAAAAAATATGAAAAATCATTAATAGTTAGTGAAATGATTAGATCAGCTTCAAAAAAATAAAAAGACTGGGAATACCTATTGCTGGTGGACCTGCAGAGAAAATTCACGTGCAATGTAACTTGAAATGTGACTTTCTCCAGCTTTAAAAAAAATCAATTATATGGTCTGGCATAGTGGCTCACACCTGTAATCCCAGCACTTTGGGAGGCTGAGGCGGGTAGATCACGTGAGGTCAGGAACTCAAGACCAGCCTGGCCAACATGGTGAAACCTCGTCTCTACTAAAAAATATAAAAAACTAGCCAGGCATGGTGGCAGGAGCCTGTAATCCCAGCTACTTGGGAGGTTGAGGCAGGAGAATCACTTGAACCCAGGCAGCGGAGATTGCAGTGAGCCAAGATTGCAGCATTTCACTCCAGCCTGGGCAAAAGATTGAAACTTCATCGCAAAAAAAAAAAAAAAAGATAAATATTATATAAAATTAATAATTTTACATTTTATAACTTGTATAAATTATATGTCTATAAGTATATTTTGACCACCAATTCAGCCCTTCTCATCTGTCCTGTACAGGATAATGTGTACTGCAGTGTTGTTCATAGTGTCCAAAAATTAGAATTAAAACGAATGCTAGCCAGGCTCAGTGGCTCATGCTTATAATTCCAACACTTTGGGAGGCCGAGGCTGGTGGCTCACTTGAGGTCAGGAGTCCAAGACCAGCCAGCCTGGCCAACATGGTGAGACACCATCCCTGCTAAAAGTACAAAATTAGCCAGGTATGGTGGTGCATGCCTATAATCCCAGCTACTTGGGAGGCTGAGGCATGAGAATTGCTTGAACCCCGGAGGCAGAGGTTGCCGTGAGTCTAGATAGTGCCAGCCACTGCACTCCAGTCTGGCGACAGAATGAGACTCTGTCTCAAAATAAATAAATAAAAGTAAATAAATAAAGGGAAGCTGAATAAATTATGGAGCATTTATATTTAGGATTATTATTTATCTATTAAAAATAACAAAGTAGAGATAAACCAGTGATTAATTTTCATTAGATGTTTATGAATAAGAAAAACAAGATAAGGAAAAGTGTATACATTAGTTAGGCAAAACAGTGATTTAAAACCTATGTGTGTATGCGTATGTTTTGTTAGTCTGAGTTCCGCAAGGATCAGTGACCAAGATGGGATTCCACTTGCAAGATATCTACTGGAAAAAGCTCCTGTGATTGAATAATGGGAGGAGCCTTCTCAGAGCTGCGGCATATTCACACATAAGGCTGTATGTGTGTATATGGGTAGATATACATGTATGTATATCATATATGTGAATATGTATGTACTATATATTTATATATGTGGATATATGTATACGTCTATGCAAATTTTGTGTATACATATGGCTATGTGTGTGTGTATATGTTCATATACATTTGTATATGTAGGCTTAGAGAAAAGTATGCAAGGATATGCAGTAGGTTATTATAATACATAGGTTATGGGGAAGGGGAGTCCTACAAAAAAAAAAAAAGAAGGAAAAATTGCAGCAAATCCCCTCACATTTCAGACTTCTATATTCAGTTGCCCACACCTCACTTGAAAAATTTTAATGCTTTACACCAGGCACGGTGGCTCATGCCTGTAATCCCAGCACTTTGGGAGGCTGAGGCAGGCAGATCACCTGAGGTCAGGAGTTCGAGACCAGCCTGGCCAACATGGTGAAACCCAGTCTCTACTAAAAATACAAAAATTAGCTGGGAATGATGGCGCACACCTGTAATCCCAGCTACCCAGGAGGATGAGGCAGGAGAATCACCTGAACCCAGGAATTGGAGGTTGTGCTGAGGCAAGATCATGCCACTGCACTCCAGCCTGGGTGACAGAGCGAAATTCTGTCTAAAAAGAAAAAGGAAAAGAAAGAAAGAAAATTTTTAATACTTTATAAAACGAATTCCTGAGTTTGCCCACCTCCTCAGATCAAACCTACTGCCCTCCCCAGTCTGATTCCTGTTTCCCTGTCCATGACCTGTTTTCTTCCTGCAGGAAGCCTGTAGATTCTTTTCTTTATGCCAGCTGCTCTGGAGTCTCCCCACCATTTGTCCCATTTATTTTACTGAGTACTTGATGGACACCTAAATCCTTAGGTTCTGGAATCTGACACCCTCACTCTCAGGCTCTGCTGGGGAGATGTGGCTGAGGAAGAGTCCGAGGGGTGGCTCTTGCCCCTTCCTGGGGAAAGGTGCACGGAAGGCCGATGAGATGAGGAGACCTGCCTTTCTCACCAATTGGCCCATCTGAGTTCTCGCCACTGAGTCACTCTCATTATCTCCACTTTTCTAGGGAGGAGGCCTCACCACCGAGCCTAGAGCAGCACAGTGAGTCAGAGATGAGGGTTTTGTCCCACCTGCCCCAACCCTCGAGCTCTGCTTCCCAGGTCCGAGTTCCCAGGCAGCCTGTCACAGCCAGTGCCAGTGAGAGGGTGGGTCAGGCTTCAGGACAGCCCAGCACTGAGGACATCTAAAACAGTCTTCATTTATTTATTTATTGTTCATAGTGTCCGAAAGTTGGAATTAAAGTGAATGCTGAATAAATTATAGTGCATTCATACTTAGGAATGTTATGCACCTATTAAAGAGAATGAAATAGAGGTAAACCAATGATTAATTTTAATTAGATATTTATGAATAAGAAAAGAAAGATAAGGAAAAGTGTTTGCATTGTTTAGGTAAAACCATGATTTAAAAAATCTATGTGTGTATATGTATGTTTTGTTAGTTTGAGTTCACCAAGGATCAATGACCAAGAGGAGGTTCCACTTGCAACAGATTAATCAGGAAAAGCGTGTGTATATGAATATTTTATTCCATATAAAATATATAGAATAAAATATCTTTAGATGGAATGAAATATCCATATACTTTAAAATGTTTGGATTGAAATACAGTGAAATTCCCCCTCCCAGTTTGGTTGCCCTTTTTTAAAGGCAACAGGTGCTAGTTTCTTGTGTATACTTCAAGAGACGTTTTAATGCAAAAAAGAAAAGATGATCTTACAGCCCACAATCCCTTATCTGGAACCCTTGGGGGCAGGTATATTCTGGAATTGCGAAGTCAAGGAGTGTTGAAAGGTAATGTGTGTATTCTGTCACACTCCCAGCAGAGCATGTGATAAAATACACAAGTATTTCTGCACCAAGTAAAATAAATAAAGCCATAATCTTCCCTAAGTCTGTTCACTTCAGCCAGATTTTGCTACCAAATGTGTTTATGTCATTTATTTATTTTTTAATTGTGTTCTTTGGAGATTTTTGAACTTCATAATTGTGAATAAGGGAATGTGGACTTGTGTTTGTGCTAGTCTCTTTATTTAAAAATGTGTAGGAGCATTCTGCACCTACTGGATCAGACTAAAGAGCTTCTGCATTATTATTATTATTTTTTTTGTATCCCCATTACACTAGGTCTCCTCCCTAGTGCATTATACATATGCGCCATGGCCAACTTAGCCTGTCCATGGACATCTGGGTTGTTTCCAGTCTTCTCCTCAATTGCATCAGTGCTGCAGTGAATAACATCATGTACTCATTTAACACATGTGCAAGCATATCTGTAGGATAAATGCCTAGTAGTGGAATTGCAAGGTCAATTAATAATAATGATAGTTGACATCTGCATGGGTATTTACTAAGAGCTGGGAATTGTTGTAAGGGCTTTACAATAATTAATGTATTTTAATCCTTGCAACAATCTCCTGAGGGAGATACTATTATCATTCCATTTTTACAGATGAGAAAAACTGAGGTACAGAGAAGGTAAAGGACTCGTAGAGCTGGAATTCAAATTGAGGTGTTCGGACACCAGCCTGTGTGCTAACCATTACATTTGACTGCCTTTTGAAGGTCGTGGGAATTAGTAACTTAGACACTGCCAAATTGTCCTCCGCATGGCTTTACCAATTCACATTCCCACCAGCAGCCTGCAAGCCTGCTTGTTTCCCTGCCAACGCTGCGCTGAATCAAACTTTTTGATCTCTGCCAATCTGATAGGCGAAAAGGGTGTCTCACTGTAGTTTGACTTGAATTTCTTTCTTTCTTTCTTTCTTTCTTTCTTTTTGAGATGGAGTCTTGTTCTGTCACCCAGACTGGTGCAGTGGCGTGATCTTGGCTCACTGCAGCCCCTCCCTCCTGGGTTCAAGAGATTCTCCTGCCTCAGCCTCCTGAGTAGCTGGGATTACAGGAACCCACCACCACACCTGGTTAATTTTTGTATTTTTAGTAAAGACTGGGTTTCACCATGTTGGTCAGGCTGGTCTTGAACTCCTGACCTCATGATCTTCTCTCCTTGGCCTCCCAAAGTGCTGGGATTACAGGCATGAGCTATCATGCCTAGCCAAGCTTGAATTTCTTGTACTGTGAGTCAGGTTGAGTGTCTTTTCATCTAAGGGTTTTTTGGACTTCCTTTCCATAAACTGGCCTTTCATATCTTGTGCTCCCTTTTTCAGTTTGGTTATATCTATAACTTGTATTGAGCTTTTTATGTCTTAGGAAGATTAGCCTTTAGTGGTTCAAAAGGTACAGATCTTTGCCTAGCTAGTCATTTATCTTTTGATTTTGCTGGCGATGGGTTTTGGATAAAGTATTAAGAGGAGAGAAACAAAAGTAAGGGTCTTCAGTGTTGGGAACTGAAGGGAGGGAGAAGACAGAGCAGATCGCTGGAAAGAGGTACTCTCTGCCTGGTGAGGCATCAGGGAAGGAAGGTGATGGGGATAGTGAGGACGGCCCCTTATGGGACAGGCACAGAGGGTTCAAATATGCCAAGTGTGGCCCACTGAGACTGGAGGCTGGGAGGAGGGAGGACTTCATGACAGACACAAGGGCGCGTTGTCCAGATACACTGCTCCAAGATGCGCCCAACAGAAGACACATTGCCCCAGTAAAGGACTGCCCAGCTGCAAGGCTATGCTCAGCGGGCAGCCTACCACTGTTGGCTCCTACAGGGCCTGCTCAGGTTTTGGACCAAGTTTATTATTTTCTTTGAGTGTCCCTGGCCAATGACTGAGCAAGATGGTGGTACCAGGGCCCAGCTATTCCACTGTTTCCACATTTCCAACATGGGAGTCCTCTAGTGGGCTGTTTTTGTTCTAGATTCCTGGGTGACTGGCAGAGTCAGGTGTGCAGGTCTGAGAACTCCACTCTTGCTTTTGCCCCGTTTCATTCACAGGTGTTACCCTTACCCTTCCTAATCTTGTATTCCTAACTCCATCTCAATATCAGCTTCCTGGAAAACACAAGCAGCCCAGACTTTGAAAGTCTTTTGGTAAAAATTGACATACATTTTTTTTTAAAGTCATGGAAATATATTTCATACTGTCTGAGCCTAGAGATTTGTTTGTTTTCTCTCTGGTGGTGGCTATACATGTCCTTTGGCTTGGACATAAAGTGAAAATGTTGGCCTGTGTATAAAGGCAGCTGAGTTTGGCCCTCCCAGTAGCCAGGGGGAATCTGACCTCAGCTCAGGACCTGGAGGAGTGGCATGGAGTGGCCAGTTACCACTAGGTGGAAGCATGAATTGGGTAAGATGTGTGGGAGCACCTTTGCTGCCAGCCCCAGGCCTGAGAACACACCACACAGAGAACGGGGCATAGAAACATCTAATTTGGCAGCGGCAGGTGGACCTGGTGGTGGCTGGCCCACATCTCCCAGCCCTTCTCTGCCTGGTCCTTTCTCCCCACCTCTGTTCTAGTGTCCTGACAGGTCTCCTGCCCTTTGCATGTTGCCAGAGTGATCTGATGACACCACTTCTTAGCTGTAGGCTTTGGATGGTAAAACCTGGAATCCACACCCTTGGCCCGTGACTCAAGCCTCTTGGTATACTGGCTCCTTTTCAGTCTCTTTTAACTACCCTATCCTTTCCTCCCTGTGCTCCACACTCACAAGAGCTCTTGCCATTCTGAAAACCGGGGGCTCTATGTCCCTCTGTCCCCATCACTGCTAGTCTCACTGGCGGGAATACCTTCCTGTTTCTCCCCACCCCTCAAGGCTCCTCAGTAGATATAAATGCATGTGTTTGGTTTGCCACGTTTGAGCTTCCTGAAGAAATGGTAGTAAATATTTGAAGTGGTTTTAATTAGAAAATACCTTTCATTGCTTACTGCCCTGTAGGACTACCACATCTTTGAAGATTTTCAGTGCAGAGACTTGACCATGTGAGGGTTCGGTTGTATGGGTTACACATACCATCTTGAGAGACAGCCTGAGAAGCATTTCTTGGCCATTCTTCTTATACCATTCCTATCATATATATCTCTAGGACCACAATCACTGATCACCAACAAAACCACTAATTTGTATCAGACATTCTTTTAACTCTTTTACCAAGATTGCTTGACTGTTGAAATGTGCTAGGATGTAAGTCAGCCAGAAAACACTAATTGAGCATATGCTGTGGGCAGTGCATTGTGGTAGGTGGCAGGTCAGCAGGTTGTTGTGAGAAAGCATGATGGACAACATCGTACCTGCCCCCATGGGAATGGATTGCTCAACTGGACGGGCAAACACCTGTCAGCTGATGGCCATGTATGGCTATGCAGGTCCTCATTGACAGGGGCCCTTGGAGAAAGGCAGTCTCCGCAACTGGGGCAGCCATGGAGGGCTCCCATCAGGAGGTGGCGATGGAGATGGATGTGGGGGAACGGCGGGGATTTGGAGAGACTAGAGGAGCGAAGATGGCCTCTAGAGAGAAGGTGGCTTGATGAATCACTCAGGAGGAGCTCTACTTATTTTGTTTGATGAGCCTAGGATGCATCAGATATCTCTTTAAAGCACCAGTTCTCAAGTCTGGCTGCATGTTTTAATTACCTGGAAATGTTTAGAAATACAAATACCTGGGTCCCACCTCCAAAGAGTTCAACCGGATTGTCGTGGGGTGTGGCGTGGGCACTGGGACTTTAACAGCTTTCCAGGATGGTCAGATGGTGAAAGCCAGGCTTCCAGCTCACGCCTGTCAGGCTCTGACACTTCCGAGGCAAGCCACTCACGCCATCTGTTAAATCCCACTCACACCCCTGGCCTCAGGTTCCCAGGAGGATTTCTTTGCCCGCTTCGCATTCAGGCAGTCACAGGTAGTCCCCCGAGCCACAGGCTGTTTGGCTTTTCCTCTGCCTCAGTGCCCCTCTTCTGGCACTTTCCTGGAGCTCCGAGGAAGCAGTGGACGATGCCGTGTGGCCCAGCTATGGGCATTTCCAGAGGGCCTGGGGCTGAGCTTCCTGAGGGCACATCTACACACACCTGCTGGGCAGGGGACCTGTGTGCCGGTCACAGATGTGGCGCCGGAAGGGGATTTTTCTCTTGCTGTATTTCCTGCCATTGAGCAGGACCTGAATAAAGTCCAGCTCCCCTTTTGAGGCAGTCTTTGCTGAGTGGTCTCAGGAATGCCATTCCTCATTTCAGGGAATTCTGTAGGTGGGGCTGCTGGCTCCCAGCCAGTGCGTCTAATGGTGTACATGCACCAGTCACAGTTTGAGCCCCTCCTGGAGGCCACAACTCTGCCTCCTCTTCAGCAGTGCAGCAGGCATCCGATCGGCTGTAGGAAAGAGGACAGAGAGTTGACATGATTTTCTGGCAAGAAAGATTGCCCCACTCGGGGTTTACGATCAAGGTGGGAGATAAAACGCTCTGGCTCTTGAGGCCTTTTCATTTAGTTATTAATTCAAAAATATCTGTAGGGATTTTGTTTTTAAATGATAAATATTCTTTCTTAAAAGAAAAAAATGCAAATAGCAACATACCCAGAAGAAATGGAAAACCACTGGCCAGAGAAAGCCTTTGGCATTAATGCTTTCCGGGCCTCGGAGAAACCCATTTCTGCTGGCTCTGAGTGTGTGTTTCTCTGGGCAGGGGCAGGAATAACATGACCCTTGAAAGCACTCGAAGCCCTGGGTTACATAAGTAATGTGATGACTCTCTCCGCAGAGCCCCTCTAGAGACATCCCACCGCCCTGCCCTCCTGGAAAGAACGTTCAGCCTGTCCCACACCAGAACCCATTCAAGGAGAGAGGAATGCCGAGATAGTGGCTCATCTTCCTCCGTCCCAGAGAGGCCTCGGAGTAGTCCTCTCTGTTGCTTCACAGCCCTCCAACTATGCGAAGAATGCGAACCATTTCCCATGTGACTGGCAACCATGAAGCAATTCTGAGCCCAACCTCCCCAAATATCTGCTTTGCAAACAGATAAAACAGAGAAGCATCCTGAAAATGTGCTGTTGGGTCATTCACCTTAGGCGGTTGTGCTGTCTGCTTGCCTACCAGGGGGGTTTCTGCTTCCACAGTCCAGCCTGGAGCTGCTGGGGAGCCAGTTTGGGATGTGGCCATGTTCCTTAAGGGGGCAGAACACAGAAAACTCTCAGGAAGGGGCTTCTCAAGGAAATGGGGACCAAGCGACGCTGCGGGCTCTTTGAAGGGATCTGGGTCCCATCCCAGTGCTGGACTCATTGCTGGCCAGTCCTTGGGGTCACCTGGGAGCCCTTTGGCTCCTGAGATGTCTGGGCATGGGGCTGCCTTCACCAGCCACAAGAACCCAAACCCACCTCAACCAGCCTTTGGCATCTCCAGTCTGCACCAGCTCTAATTTTGTGTCCTGAGTGGGTGGAGGCAGTGGCAGGGGGATTGCATGCCAAGCCTGGCAGAGGTAAGGAAGAGGAAGAGGAAGAGGACTTAACTTTCTCAGTAGCTTCAGCCTTCCGAGAAACTCTAGAATGCCTTGTTGCACTATGGCAGGCATAATCAGGTCCCAGTGACCTACATAACCTTCCAGACACCGGGCGAGCGGGAGCCCTGACTCATGTCAGGGGAGCCTGACAGAGGAAGGGTGGGGGCAGGGAGGATTTATAATCCTGAGACAGTGAAACCACCTAAATATTTAGTGATGACTGAGTCACTGTATGTCCACAGGGTGGAATATTATGTCAAAGTGATTAGTACAAAGACTATTTAGCAATATTGCGAGTGTTTATGATATAGTATTAAGTAAACAAAAGAAAGATATATGCCTTTATGGCACCTGAACAAGAGAAGACTAGAAGGGGATTTCAAAAAATAACAGCTGTGGCCAGGTGCGGTGGCTCATGCCTGTAATCCCAGCACTTTGGGAGGCCGGGGTGGGCAGATCATGAAGTCAGGAGATCGAGACCATCCTGGCCAACATGGTGAAACCCCGTCTATAATAAAAATACAAAAATTAGCTGGGCATGGTGGTGTGCTCATGTAATCCCAGCTACTTGAGAGGCGGAGGCAGAAGAATAGCTTGAACCAAGGAGGTGGAGGTTGCAGTGAGCCAAGATCGCACCACTGGACTTTAGCCAGACTCCGTCTCAAAAAAAAAAAAAAAAAAAAAAAGAAACCAGTTGCTCTGCTACAGTGGTATCATTACATTAAGAACCTGATTCTTCGAAAAGAAAGCAGCTTTACAGTCAGATAGAGCTGGACTAGTAGCTCAGATCTATTTCTTACTAGAAACAATCTTGACAGGTAGCTTAATGCGATTGGCTTTCCAACTGTAAAATGGGTACAGCAATTCCTGCTTTACAAAATTCTTGTGAAGATAAATCTGATTGTGCATTTCTTCCCTTCTTGCCTTCATTTCTTCCTACTCTCTCCCTCTACATATTTTTCACTAATACCGCACAACTCAGTTGCCCACAGAGGATTCCACAAGTGAATCATCCTTGGGTCTGCTTAAATCCCTTTTGCTCTAGGGGAGGTGTATTGGCCCGTTTCTGCTCTAAGCAGAGCTGTGGATGAGGAGGGGTGCTAATGATGAGACGGTCTGGGTGGTCTTGGCAGGGGGAGGCTGGGCTGGTCCTCGCTATCAGAGCAGCCTCAGTGTTGTGCATTGCCCGCCCAGACAAAGTCATAAAAACCTTGGAGGTTGAAGCAGGAGTTTGGGAGCCTCCCTGACTGATACCACACTGAGCAGACCCCTTTCCTGTCTCTGCTGCCATGGCCTGGCTCAAGCTCTCTTTTTAAAAAAAATATTTTTGTATTGACAAATACAAATTGTATATATTTATGGTAAACAACATGGTGTTTGGAAATATGTATACATTGTGGAATGACCAAGTAGAGCTAATGAACATGTATGCCTTAGCTCATACTAATCATTGTGTTGGTGGGGAGGGGCAGAGGGGAAACGTAAAATCCACTCTTAGCAATTTTCGTGTATACAAAGCATTCTTATTGTAGTCACCATAGTGTACAATAGATCTCTTGAGCTTATTCCTCCTAACTGAAATTTTGTATCTTTTGATCGACATGTTGCGAATCCCTCCCAAATCAGACCCTCTTACCACTAGCAAGATCTAAGTTTCCCCAGGCCTGAGTCAGATGCCACTGGTGGACAATTGACGTGACCAATGGCAAGTGAACCTTCCCTTCCCTTCCCTTCCCTTCCCTTCCCT